GGCACCAATTACTCTTAGTCCAAGGATCCAAGGAGCATGATTATAAACTTCAGTCAAGCAGTGGTTATTGGACTTTAGCCCCCATCAGAATAACGTGGAGGAAGGACCTGTTTAGCAGATTGCTGGGCTCTATCCCCATATTTAATACATCTGGAATAGGACCCAAATTTATGTCTGGTTTTAGGGTGTTTCTTTTGTAGTTCAAACCAGCTTTGAACTCATAATCCTCCTGCTTCAGCCTTCCCAAATTTTGATTTCTAATAACTTCCTACTTTGTGCTGACAGTGGTAATGTAGGGCCACCCTGAGCCACCTGAGTTCATAGCTGTGGTTGAGGAGTGTATAGCAGGACTCCAGAAGGAAAATAAATTTGAGTGATATTTTTACTGAAGTGAATTACCTGCTAACTCTGCTAAAAACTGAGGCTTCCTATTTTTAACCCCAGTGTTTTAAACCATGCAATTGCTATTTCCTTACTTTCTAAACTTATCAATACATAAATTGGTCTCATGAAGGTTTTTTTAGGCTTTTGCAAGCCTGATAAAAATCCCTAGACACTCTTCCCAGAAAAACCAATATACACATACACAGAAGTATGGCTTACCACGTTAGGAGTTTCTTGAACACCTCCACCACCAGCCCACCCACGGGCTTGAAGACTGTACTTGAGGCGCTCATGGGATGAGACAAACATTCCCTTCTTACAGTTAACCCTTCAGTTAGCTCATTTATAAGGGAAGAATAGTGAAAGTAGTTCTTGACTCCAATGTGGTTAAAAAAAAACCTGGTAAAATGTATAGACACTTGCACTTAGCAGTGTCTTTCACAAAGAGTGTATATAAATGTTTGCTGCTATTAAAGTTGTTACTGTATTGTGGTCAGAGAAGGGGATGCAGCTGGCTTGGGGGAGGATGCTTGTGAGGAGGGAAGAGGTTTAGATGCTGGAATGTAGTCCTGGACTGAGTAGGGCCCAAGAACCCAATGCAGCAGAGACAGTGGCCCGGATGCTGCCCAGAGGACTGCAAAGACCACTGAAGAATTGGTGTGGACCTGGGGAGAGCTACAGTCCCACTGTCACTCTGCCCCACTCACCTTGGTTTCTTCACCTTGCAAGTACCTTGGACTCAGTACGGCCTCCCTCCGGGGCTCTCTCCAGAGCCTCAGCTAACAAAGCCCACCTGGGTTCCATGGGATGCGAGTGTGGTGTTTACTTTCTCCACTGCCCCAGCCTCCCAAGTTAAGAACCCTTATTTTATGGCTAAAGCAGTTCAAAGCAACTGCCTAAGGGCTATTTTCTCCACAATAGTTAACTCCAAGATACAATTCAAACCCTCCTACCTTAATGTTTAACCCTCAGAATGAAAGTGGAGCAGCTGACCACCTCACCAATATTCACCACTTCAAGAGGCTGGAAGAAAAGACTCTAAACAAGTAACAAATAATATCCCCACTCAAAGACTAAGATTGAAACTTTCTCTCCCACACTGTTCACTTCCCTACAGGCTTCCTAGTGTTTTAATGGAGCTAGGAGCTTGTACAGTGGAGCAGTTAGCATGGCCTTGGGAGTGTTGATACCAGGGTTTGTCTCTGTACCTGGGATCCTACCTACTCAGGAGGCTGAGAGCAGAGGATTGTGGTTCAAAGCCAGCCCAGGCAGGAAACTCTGTGACTCTTTAATTCATCACCAAAAGGATGTAGGTGGAACTGTGGCTCAAGTGGTAGAGCACCAGACTTAAAAAAGCCAAGGAGCATTGCCCACGCCTTGAGTTCAAGCCTCAGTATTGGGGGGGAGTGGGCGGCGGGGTGTGCGCACACACACACATACACACACAAATAGACTGTGGAGGGCAAGAAGGCAAAACCTGGTAAGTATAATGTATACTCAAACTACATCCAGAGAGAAAGATTGGAGAAACTGTAATCTTAACAGATCAAGGGATCATAATTCAAGGTCAGTCCAGGCAAAACAACATCTGAATCAATAAACTGTGCCTGGTGATATATGCCAGTGATTTCAGTTATGTTGGAGACACAAGTATGAAGCACTAGCATGTCTGAAAAATAATCAGAAGCAAAAAAAGGGCTAGAGGCAGGGTTCAAGTGGTAGAGGCCTTTTCTAGCAAGGCCCTGAGTTCAAATCCCAGTACTGCTAGCAACAACAACATCAATAATAAAATAACTTTCAGACATCTTCCCAAGAGAAAGGCAGCTGGTCTGGGAAGCTAAGATAGTTCCACAGTGGAAAGTAGGTATCTGTACTTGTAAAGCTGCCAGGTGATTCTGTTGCCCAGCTTGCTTTTTGAACTATTATGGGATATTACTCGTATGTGGATAAGTGTGCAGAAAACAGAGTTGATACTTCCTCATGCCAGAGTTACATGTGCTCACTTAGAGAGCTTAGGTGTGGGTCTCCCTCATTGGCTCTCTCAGCTCACCCTCCATCCATTCCCATCTCTGATTCTCAGGAGATATATTAGGAGATGGGAGAGGCTGGTAGATAACAAGGTCCTGTGAACTTCCCCACAATGTGTATACAGTTCTTTCTCATGAGAGTTCGACTAGATCACAGGACACCATGACAGCATCATGAACTTAAGCCTGGTGCGTAGTAAGCAGGCACTCTAGCACCAGCCCTTTTTTTTTTTTGGTTGTGAGGCTTGAACTCTGGGCCTGTGTGCCGTCTGTCCCTGAGCTTTTCAGTTCAAGGTCAGTGCTCTACCACTTGAGCCACCAAGCCACTTCCAGTTTTTTTGGTGATTTACTGGAGATAAGAGTCTCACAGACTTTCCTGCCTGAGCTAGTTTTGAACTGTGGTCCTCAGATCTCAGCCTCCTGAGTAGCTAAGATTACAGGTGTGAGCCACCAGTGCTGGGCTGCACTGGTTATTTTTGAGACAGTCTCACTTTTTACCCAGGCATACAACCTCAACCAAGATCCACTTATTCTATGTTTTATGTTGTAACTGAGATGACAGGCACATTCCACTCTGCCCAGCTATTAGCTGATAAGGATTCTCATATGTATGACAAAGCTGGCCTGGAACTGTGATCCACCCTGTCTCAGCCCTCCAAGTAGCTAGGATTCCAGGCATGAGCTACTGGGGCTTGTAACTAGAATGTTTTTTGCCTATATAATAAGGGTATCCATATTCTGCCAGTCTTGTAGAAGATTCATAGCATTTTAATCTTTCAGAACAAATAATATAGTGCACAGGTAAGGTAAGAGAGAGAGAAAGAGATAGATAGATAGATAGATAGATAGATAGATAGATAGATAGATAGATATAGATAACACACGTGCATCTGTGCACACGCGTGTGCGCGCGCACACACGCACACACACACACTGAACTCTATGGAGGGAGTTCCATGACTCATCCAAGGTCAGACAACTTGAGTGGGTGCCCAGTGTTTACCCTCCTCTGGAGCTCTGGTTCTGCTTCTGTGCCATACTGGAGAAGGGTAACATAAAGGCATTTTTCTCTCCTTGTAAAAGAGGAGAAAATGGGGGAGGGAGAATTATTTAAACACACCTCTCTCATACTGCAATCACTGCATTGTTTTTCCTGTAGAAACACCCTGTTGGTTTTTAAATCCCTTTAAACCTCCTCGACACCTGTATGGCCCAAGTCCAAGAATTATTCCCAAATCCCCCGCTTTTTAGACATAGCCCCACAGGAGTTTCTGTGATGGTAGCTGGCTCCTGGTTTAGTTGAGAATTTCAGAGCCCCCAGAAGTTTGCTTCTTCTGTAGGTGCTAGAAGCCTACAGTGTTCCAACCTGAATTTCTTTTTGCTTTTATCTTAAGCAAAGAGTATACCACCCTCCCACCCGATATGGTTCTATTCGATAAAATAGTGTCATGGCACAACCCTGTATTGTTCTGTGGCAGGCTGATGACTAAAGCATTAACCAAAAGGGAAGACAGAGGAGGGATGAAGTGGGGATCAGAGTGAGCAGCTCATAATACATGATATGACTTCTCTTCAGGGCAACAACTTAGGCTCTAGACATAATGAGAACTTCCCAGCAAATTCATTATAACAAAGCATAATGTGAGCTCACTGGGCACAAAAATAGGCTGAAGGAAAGTGACTCCCACATAAGACCTAATTAAATACTTTGATGTCAGAAAGCAGCATGGGGAGGGGTGGAAAATCCAATGTGGAAGGCTTTGTTCAAAAGAAAAGAAGAAACACCCACACCCCCTTTCTCTCTCTCTCTCTCTCTTTCTCTCCTCCTCCTCTCCTCCTCCTCCTCCTCCTCCTCCTCCTTCTCCTTCCCTCCTCCCTTCTCTCTCTCCTTTTCTTCTTTTGCCATGAAGAAGGAAGAATAAGATTCAAGAACAATGGGTTGTAAATTCTTCAGCCAATTAGTGCAGTGACTTACTACTGTTTGTAATGCGCAGAATGTCACAGGCTGTTTTGCAGCCGCTCCAAGTTGGTTTGTTAATAACAGGAAGCTAGCACTTCTCAGTACAGTGGATCAGCTACACGTGAAAATAAATGCAAAAAACCTGGAGGGGAATAGCAGCAGACCGAGAGTAGCCTTGATTTAATTTAACATTTGGGGGTCCACACACAAATGAGCATTTTAGTAGGCTTCATGGTGGAAGTTGCTGTCATTTGTAAAATATTCTGGCCAATTAGCTAATAGTGTGCTTGGATTTCTCCTGTTTTGATACAGTAATACTAAGTACATTGTGAAGCCCAATTATACAAATCATCCCCATATGCCATACCAGTCTTTCTTTATGAACTGTGTTTATAAATCCTGTGTGAGGAAATGTGTACTTCAGCAATTTAGACCATGTGTAAAAACATAGCCAATGGGATTGTCAAGAAAACAAGTTCCAGCCTAGGAACTCCTAATGTGTTCCGTTGGAATAACAGGAGGGTGCCGGGGAGTGCGTCGCTCTGCTTACATATATATTGCTTTAGACTGTTTAACCAATTAGGGGCTTCCACTTCCTCTTCTGTTATTTTCTTCTTCTTTTCTTTCAGGATCCGATTTTGGAGTTTCTGAGAAGATTTGGGATTGGTTTCTTGTCAGGGACCATCGCCTCCATCATTAACATCCCTTTTGATGTTGCCAAAAGTAGGATTCAAGGGCCCCAGCCAGTTCCTGGAGTGATCAAGTACAGAACCTGTTTTAAAACAATGGCAACCGTCTATAAGGAAGAAGGGTAACACATTCTTTCTTTAATACACAGGCCAGGCTCAAGCATTGTTAGAACCACCTTGTGCTTCTATTTTGATGAGAACCAGTAAGCCTTCCTGAGTTGGGTGTGTGTCTAAGGAAGCCTGTGGAATACATGACATATTTTGCACGGCCACACAAGAATGAGACACTGGCAAAGTGTTCCTACACCATCAGGAACGTGCCATGAGGCACGACCATACACTATACAGCGTGTTTGCCTTGGCGTGCTAACATTGACTTTTTACATGCCAGTGTGAGTAAGATGCTACATGGATTATATATCCTGTTAGTACCTGAGTGGGAAAATAATTTTCTTCTGATTGTAATCCTAATCAAAACGTCACCTAATTAAGTTTTTTTTTTAATTTTTAAAGTATGTTCCTTTTTCTTCTTTTTAAGGCTTAGATCCTGCCTTACTTATATCCCCCCCACACACACATACACACACACAACCAATATCTTATTCTCAAGTAAACAAGTGATACTTTATTATTTTGATCTAACTGCATCATATTTCTTAATGTGAAGCCTGAGTTTGTGGTCTTTTAAATTCAATTACAAAAGTCATTTTGCCCATATACACAGCTGTCTTGAAAGCAAAATCTGCCTTGAAAGCAAAAACCATCTCCCTGATGAAAGTCATGTTTCTGATTGGATAAGACCAGTGTAGCCTGGATAATAAAAATTGATTAACTCTTTCCCCTCATCCAATTTGCTGTAGTGAATACTAAGCCAGATATTGTCAGGTTGGAGACGAGTGTCACTTCACATGGTTTCTTTTTAAATGCTGAGCCAGCATCTCAATAAAGCTGAGGTCTAGCTCCATCTTATTTTCAGACTAAGAATGCTCCTTTTTTTTCCCCTTTTGGCTATAGGTTTTTAGCTTTATACAAAGGCCTAGTTCCCAAGATTATGAGACTTGGACCAGGTAATTGTGCTTTTATTATTTATACTCTTCCTTCTTGATTATTCTAAAACTCTTGCTTTGCTATTAGTGTCTAACAGCAACACAGTAAAAGTTTACTACCCTGTGAGTAGCAGAAACCTTGAGAATGTAAAGCTGTACGATTATTGAAGATACTCAAGGCATCTGTTAGAAATGTTCTACTTTTGTTTGTAAGTGCCGTTTATGACCTTGCTGGAGGCTGATAGAAGTCAAAACCCAGCTGAAATTAATAGGAGAGGATTCACAGCCATAGGCATCTGCATGAGCTCCAAGGCTCCGTGGCTTCCGGATGAAGAGGAAAATTTTCACTGAAGAACCAGCTTGATAAAATTGACAATGGTAACTCACGCCTATAATCTCAGCTACTCAGGAGTCTGAGCTCTGAGGATTGCCAAAGCCAGCTCAAGCAGGAAAAGCCTTGAGAATCATACCTCTCAAATAACCACATAAAAAACAAGAGGTGAAGCTGAGTTTCAAAGTGGTAGAGCACTAGCTAGCCTTAGGCAAGAAAACTCGGGGACAGCACCCAGGCTCTGAGTTCAAGCCCCGTGATGGACAAAAAGAAGAAAAGAAAGGAAAGGAAAGAAAACTTTTCCTTGTGCTCCCAGTCAGTCTTGCTTCTGACTGCATTTCAAACAGAGAAAAGGAACTTGCCTCCACAAAGAGCAAATCATTTCTCTTCACAGTCACTGCTAAAAAGGGATGATGACATTGGCCACTTACGTGTCTTGGCCTATGTCAGCTGGATGGTAGAAGACCATGAGGGACAGAGGCCAACCAACAACAAAATAAAACAAAACCAAAAAAAAAGAAAGCCTCTATGTAAATAGATAAGAAAATAAGGGCTGTAGACTCAACCGCTTGGGCAAATAGGCCTGGATTACAAGCAGCCTTGTGAGTAACTATGAAGGTATGCTCTCGACCACATGTATATTTTTTTAGCCAGGTCACACTCCCTATTTAGACATCCTGCTAGCCTTTGGAACCTTCTCTCCTCTCCACCCCTCCCTTTAAATACTCACATCTTCCTGCATTCATCTGTACATTTACCTTTCAATCTTAATGCAGTAATAAAGAACAACAATCTCTAGATTGAAGCCAGGGGGAAAGTTCACACATTTATGTATTTAGCAAACACACCCACCATTCCCAATCCATGTAGCCCAACCATTGTAAATATGTAAGTGAGGACTTTGCTTCACATATGAGATTCAGACCTATCTTTGATTAGTCAATGCCCCTTTTATAAAATAAAAAAAAAGAACATCGAGAAATTTGCCCCATTTCTGCAAGTACTCTATGTAATATTTTTCCTGCACCACCCAGTAAAACTCTACTAAAAGACCTAATGTTATAGAAAATCACAGTAGGTCTATGCTGGATGATTACCAGGGAGAGTGGAGCTATAATGGTAATTCACTGGAACCTTAATCCAACCCTACTAAATAATCTGACCCCATGTTTTGTTAGAGGTTTGCAAATGTTTGGTTGGGGTTTTTTGAATGCTTTTGCATGAGGTGTTCCAAGTTTCTTTGGTATTGAACTCAATGAAGACTTGTTGGAAAGTTCCCAGCCAGTCTCACAAAATTATGAAAAACTGACTGGCTCATTCAAGGACCTGGCCAATTTATTTCAAATGTTAGATAGCTGAAAGATAAGACATTTGACTTAAAGCCATTTAGGAATTAAAGGGAGGGGGTGGCAGAGGGATGATGGGAGAGGAGAGAGAGAAGAAAAAGAAAATAAAAAGAAGAAAACAGAAAGGGTTGGGAAGAAGGAAAAGAGAGGAGAGGAGAAAAGGAAATAAAGAAAAGAGGAACCTTCATTCTGGAGAAGTCTACCATCTTATGTATGTAACAACTTTAATCAGATACTCCCTATGAAAGAGTCTGTAGTTCTTAAACTCAGTAGGCTGAAAACTAACCCAAAACTGAAAATTTTGGCTTTATATTGTGAGCAGTTCATAAAAGTAATCGCACATATATCAAGAGCCCTCTCTAGTGCATCTTTTGGGAGGAGGAAGGGATGATCATGAGGCTTGATCTCAGGCCCTGAGTGCTATTCCTGAGCTCTTTTGCTCAAGGCTAACACTCTACCACTTTCAGCTACAGCTTCACTTCCATTTTTCTAGTTCAGAATCTCATGGACTTTCTTGCCCAGGCTGGCTTTGAACCTTGATCCTCAGATCTCTACTTCCTTGGTTGCTAGGATTCCAAGCATGAACCACCCGCTGGTGGTGCTTTGAAGTGCATCTTTTTTTTTTGTCTGCCAGAGTTCCAGCTGAGAGGAGCTAATAGAGTTCTTCATGAGTTAAAAATGAAAATTATACACAGATAGTTATCTTTTGTATGTGGTTACAAACATGTGCAGCTTGTGGATTACAAAAGAAAAAAAGCATATGGCAATGTGCACAAAACAACTAAGATCCAAATCAAGTTCTATTTCTTTCTATCAGAAGCCAATCTGCTACTAGCCCAGCCAAGTCTTCCATAAGTCATGCATGGGATATTTGTCCATGTTTTGAAATATTTTTCTCATAGATAAACATGAAAGGATAAGTATAGATTATTCTAAATTAGAAGACATGTGCTATTTGCTGTATCATATAGAACACAAAATAATCCATATGCAAGGGTTTTTCCCAGTATCCAGGGATTCAACAGCCATTGTGCTAATTTTCCTGAACCATATTCCTGTTGATTTATCACATAACACATGTCTTTTCAGCCCATCTCATACAGTTCTTTCCTTCCAAACTTCATAAGAGTTTGGTGATCTTGTGCCACCCAACTCCATTACCAAATTTTTATACTCAAAGATAGATAGATAGATAGATAGATAGATAGATAGATAGATAGATAGATAGATAGATAGATAGAGAGACAGACAGATAATCTGAGACAGATAAATGAAATACTTTGCAACCTTTTGCCAGGTTTTGCAATACCAGATTTAAAAAGCACACAGAAAGCATTTTTTTCCATTACAATCCAGTTTGAAAGCTATAAGGATGGGATAGAGGGGGCAAGGAGCACTTTCACCCATTAGGGCCCTCTTAAAGAGTTCTCCCTTAAATGCAACTAAGGCCATACAAGTCACAAAGTGAACAAGACAAACCCTTTGCCTACATAAGAATCTGAAGATTTCTGTCACAGGAAAGCCACATGCCCTTACATGACTAAATCTGTCTATATTTATTTACTTTTAAAAATTAAAAGTGCTTGGAAAAGAATCTGATGAGAAATGCTGAAAGTTACAGAAACGCATGAGGACTCATGAGGAAAAAATGTATTTGGAGACTCAAGATGGTCTTGATTTTACCCTGAAATGTTTCCACAATATTTTTATATCTGTATATCAGCACTCCAAACCTAGTTTTTCCAAATTCCCCTGCCCAATAGGCTGCGTGGAACTCTATGGAACTCTATGTGATGTAAACCTGCTCTTTTCCCTTCTAGGTGGTGCAGTGATGCTGCTGGTGTACGAATACACCTACTCGTGGCTGCAGAAAAATTGGTGATGGCGTAGAAAGTGTTTTCCCCTTGAGAAATGGGGACTTGCTCCAAGGTCCCATGAAGAGCAGAGACTACCAGTCAGCTAAGCTAGGCATACAACTATGAAGGGGAAAACAGCTAGGTCAGAATGAAAGCCTGTTCTGACACGCTAGATGGTCGTTTGGGCCATCATACACATAAAACTGTGAACAGAAAATTAATATGGAGCAATAAGGAATGAAAGTTGAATATTCTAAATAGGGTAGAAATCAGATTTATTTCACAAAAGATAGAGAGGCTTAGTCATATATGTTCTTATACTGATTCACAGTGAAAATTCATTGAAATGATATTTTTTCTCTAAAAGGTCTAGAAATGCTGAAATTCTTTAAAATATTCTGTGGTTAGTTCCTTTAAGAATTCTTCCAAGAAAGACTGGGTACAAATAAAAAGAGATAAATCAAAATTTCAACAGTTTTTATAATTAATTTTTCCATAAATAATATTTAAAGAGCTAAAGGAAAATGTTTTAAAATCCACTAAAACCACCTTTTAAGAATAGTTGGTTTTATGAGCGCTGTGTTAACATGTAAGTCTCCTGGTTTTCTTGAGCGATAATATATATCTCAGCTATATTTTCCTAAATCTACTTCATATTTCACGTGGTTCCTAAAGCAGATATTTTTAAATCATGCTATTTGAAGTCATTTGTTACAAATAAAATACAATATATTAAACTACTTTCCTTTACATAGCTCACTTTGAAGACAAGTTTTGTTACTGCAGTATCTGCATACTAAGCCATAAATTGGAAGCAGCCTTCGGGCTCATTCATGCTGTCTATTTGTATCCCAAACCCTATGTACAGAGCACTTTCCTGGGACATTCTTAAGAAGAATGTGTAAGGTAGAATTGCATTTCAAGTGACAACTTCAGGTGGGAAGTCTTTTGTCTACAGTATTAAAACATGTAGGATTAAAAAAAATATTTCAAAATAGAAGCATGTGCTTAGCATTTCCAAGGACTCCTAGGATAACATGAACTCTAAAAAGTAGCTATTTGGTCCTGATATAACCAAAGTCATTTTTTTTTTAATATTTGCATCCTGAAATGATGCTACTTCAGTAGCTGAAGTCAACAAAAGTATCTGCATGTTCTAGATGACACCCCTGCTCTTAACTTGCACTGTGGGGTATTTCTACTAAGAGACAATTACACAAAAGCATCTTGAAAATAAAAAGTAAAGATAACATGGTAATTATTAATTTTTATTAATTTAGAGCATTTAAAGTATAAAAATAAAAGGCTTTTTGACATACTGTATATACAGACACAGCCTTCCATTGTACATCCTTTCCAACATGATTTTTTTAATTTATATGTCAGCCCAATATTCAATAAGTGGGTCAATAAAAACAGAGAACCAAGACAAGTTTTGCACAACTAAATTCTGTCCTCACAGGTAACATTCTAGCATCCTGAGAGAAAGAACACTGTGTGTGTGTGTGTGTGTGTGTGTGTGTGTGTGTGTGTGTGTGTGCCCAGAAACCATGAACTTGAACCTTTAACCTCTCTGTATGAATGAGATGCAGAAGATTTCTGAAGACTCATTTGCCAGTTGAAAAAGAACACTTGACCTCTAAGAACTAGAGGAAATACATTAACATTAACCAATGACAATAATGTATAAAACTCAAACCATCCCATTCCATTTTCCTTCTCATAGGTTTAAAAGTGGCTTCAAATTGTAATTTGCTTTGAATAACCAATTAGATTTAGGTTTTCTGTTGTCTGCCTAAAATCACTCCGTGTGGATTTACTGTTGCTAAGGAGAGACCTATGAAGAGAAATAAAAAGAGAAAAGAAAACTTGATATCATTAATATTAGATTTTTTAAATACAAGAACCAGACAGAATTATAAATAAAGATAAGAGATCTCTTAATTTAGATAGCGAAAAATAACATTATTTGTTTTCTTTCCATATCAACAACTGGTATTTTTTTAAATACCCCTAACAGCCACCTAAAAACATTTGGTAAAGAATAATTCTGTACCTTAAGTCAGTTTTTCTGGATGGTAGGAGAGTCCCTGTATGCTGTGGTTTTAAAGTCTCCACCAAAATATTGGGTCTTTGTTCCATTTGGTTTATAGTCTATTTTCTCACCAGACTGGGAACTCCAGATGTCAATGGGAGTTTTGCAAGATCAAAGGAAGACTATGGCCCTGAGAGTTCATCTGCTCCTTCTGCTTATTCTTCTCCTGAAGTTATAATCCTCTGTTTGTAGCACTGGATTTCACTTTCTTTAGAAATAAATGCAGTTCAAAGCTCTCTAGAAGATACCTGCTGCTTGAAAAAAGCAGGTCCTCAAACATAATGTGTCAGAAATTTGCTTACTGTTTACATCTTAGTGATTAAAAAAACAGCTGATTTAGCTATGTGAGTTTTAAATGAAGGTATGAAACCTATATGGAGGAACTAAATTGCTATGTAGCCTGTGCACAGCACAGATACAAAGAAATCAAATCGCCCAATGTATGCATCTTCAACCCATGCCTAGGGAGGTGCCTAATTTAGTTATTGCACAAAACTAATACCAAAAAACCCACAATATATTAATTTTCCAATAGACGAAGTGTACCAATGTTCTGAAAGTGTATTTTTAAGCTTCTATTGCCAAACAGGTGGAGAAAGGAAAAACATCCTGACTAGAAGGGATAAGAACTTTTAGAATTTTGTCCAGGAAAATCAATTATTCTCAAATACAACACATAATCACACAGACATGCACATGCTCACACACATACATACACATACACACACACATGCACACACACCACAGCCCTATTACCAATATTAAAGTGGAAAATAAATTGGTCTAGAAAGACTGATCAGTTAATCTGTGACCTGTAATTGCAGAAATGAGTAAAGGGAATTTGTTAAAATTAAATAGCATTTGTATTTCTAATACCAATACCAATTTACCTACACATGACACAGGTTCCTGTACAACATAGTAAACTTCACAGCAAGCCATTGTTACATTCATTAGAGCAGACCTTTCTGTTTTCTTTAAGTTACAACATAATTTGGGGCTGAGATTGATGAACACACAGGTAAGCCAACAGTAACAGTACAATTTAGTTTCACAGTGGTTTTCTTAACATAAAGTTCATTTTAAATGTCTTTGCAAAAACATTTCACATTAAACTTGTGTCTAAGTGACTTCTTTTAGAGCCTTTGTTCAGATATTTTTCCACCCTCTTATCTTGATATGCTTGGCATGTATGTTGTCTGATTAGGATACAAAATGGGAAACTGGCTTGTTTTATCTGTTATGTTTCTTTGATGTGTGTATTGTTTCTTTTTTAATTCTCTGCTGTAGCAAGAAAGTGTCCTTCATAAGATTTCACTGCACATATAAAATTTAAGGGCAAGTCTAGGTCCAAGAGCCCAAGCAGCCTACCACCGACAGCCAAAATGTTTCTGGAAAGCCACTTTTGCAAAAGAAAAAAGAAAAAGCTAGAGAAGGACTATGGTGGAAGAGGGTGCAGTACCATGGAGTGAAGACACAAATACACCTTCCAGAGAACATATTTACAAACTAATAGAACATATAAACATCATTGCTTTTGGAACCAACTTTAAACACCAGGAGCAGCTAAGTTCAAATATTGCTTGGGGTCTACACATAATAGCTCATCTCTGAAAAACAAACAAAAGATCACTCAAATAAGTAAATTATTGATTGGTTTTCCTAATGATGAATTAAGGCTTACTTGCTTACCTTATTTGATTAGAGGGTATAATAGCGTAACATTTTTTTTCTATGCGTTTTTCTTTATTGATTTTACAAAATCTCAACAATTGCACATTTCAAAAGTTCAGGGTGATTTAGAATAAATATCCACGTGTGGTTTTACCAAATACTAGTTTGGTTTTTTTTTTAAGTTCCATAAGCCCTTTAAGGGGTGTAGATTTCTTCACTACGTTACAACGGTGTGTGGGCAACAGAAATGTCTCATTCCACCCTTAATGTTGATTTTGTTTTTAAATCCTAAAGTTATGTTTGGTTTCCTACACGAAAAGAAGTTATGGCAAGAAGTGTCATCAGCACAAAGGATGTGAGTCCATAAAGCCAGCTCTGGAGGCAGGAGGGTGGGAGGGTGGAAGGGGGTGGAAAGGGAGGATGTGCTGAGAGGGAGACTGGAGTGAAGCTGTTGGAGGCCGAAGTTCCCATCAGAGTGCAGAAGCAGTGACAGAATGACTACCTTCTCTGCCTGCCTGCATTCCCTTGAAAGCCAGCGATGCGGGAATGTCACAGTTGTGCGGGGACAGAGGGGTGCCGCTGGCATGTTGCCACCCATGTCCAGCAACATAACCGGAAGGAGCAGCACTGTAGGTCATGTAAGGTGACACTTGGGCTGGGGTAGGGTAAGGAGCCATGCTGGATGCTGACACAAAACTGCTCACAGCTGGGAGACCATTTGGTGCCTGAGAAGAAGAAGAGAGGTGGGAATTAGCCACACTGCAGTAGTCAACATCTCATAGCTGCTTAAAAAAGAAGCAGAGCGTAAACTGTGAACAAGCTACGGATATTCTGATTCTACTTTCTGATATTTATTTGGGGTTTTGTTTGTTTGCTTTTTAGATTTGCTATACTCTTACATTGACCTAAAACACTCCCATTCTTGATACTGAAATGTAATGTTGACAAGCAAACTTTTTCTTTCCACAGTTTGGAGGAACGTACAATTAGAAACCATACAATACTTTTAGGTGAGGACAGAATTCGAGGTGATTAAATATTCATAGGATTTGTTCAGCTCTGCACATGGCCCTTGCCAGCTTTCCTAGTCCTTGAGGTTCATCTGACTCTTTTGTTAGAGCCTTGTGATGGTTGTGGTTGGTAGAGTTTTCATTTCCAATAAAGAAAGGCACAGAGGATGTATCGTTGCATTAGCCACTCACAGTGATCAAAACTTTATTCAAGAAAACATGGGCCACATTTTACGATATCATATTGTTTGTGCCTGTTGGACAAAGGACATGTCAAACGGCACTTATTTAGTAAGAGGGTTTTCCTTTGTTTTTATTTCTGATTTTCCTTTCTTTTGAAATGAAGATCTGGGGTATTTTTTTTTCCCTCCAGAACTTAGTTGGCCAGAAAGGAAAGTGTCCAAATACAAAGTAATTGCTTATATAGGGGTTGAAAATTGGAAGATTTGCTTGCAAATTTTTGAGCTCATGATGTGAGTTTTTAGAAGCCAAATGGACAGATCTCTTGCAATGAATTTATATGCAAAATCTTTGTTTGCAAACAAAATACAGCAGCCCTGGCCAGCAAGCCTGCCTAGAAACTAGTGCTCTCTTGGCGTCCGATAAATTATTGTTGGTATCGTTACCATTAACAACACCCAAAACACCCTGATTTCTAATCCTGCTCTGGCATGAGCACTAAGCAGTCACCCTTCTTCAAGTGGCTTAATTTTTCCCTTCTATTTCTATACTAAAGATAAAAGAGTAAATCCTTCTTCCTGGTAGTGACACATCAATGTATTTCCTCGTGAAAATATAATGTAAATACTAGACTTGTATTACAGAACCTGACTTAATCCTTCAAGTTTAATAAATCAGACATACGTTAGATACGTTGTCCAATTCAACTATAATAAGAATTAGGGGCTGGGAATTTGGCTAAGTGGTAGAGTGATTGCCTAGCATGCACGAAGCTCTGGGTTCAGTTCCTCAGTACCACATACACAGAAAAAGCCAGAAGTGGTGCTTTGGCTTAAGTGGTAAAGTGCTAGCCTTGAGCACAGAGAGAGGCTCAAGGAGAGTGAGTGCTCATGCCCTGAGTTCAAGCCCCAGGACTGTAAAAAAAAAAAAAAAAAAAGAATTAGGACTCTGTGTGTGTGTGTGTGTGTGTGTGTGTGTGTGTGTGTGTGTGTGTGTGTGTGTGTGTGTGTGTGTGCCTGTGCGCTGGAGATTGAACCCAAAGCTTTGTACATGCTAGGCATGGAATTGTTTTCTAATCTAACTGATTTGGTTCTTTTTTTCCCTTCCACATGTATAGCAATGCAGTGGTGGCGTCTCAATATTAAGCAGACATATGTACATGGAGTAGAATATATATAATGACTGTGATTAAGCATCTCTCATGGATTTCTGCGGGGGGGCGGGGAGTTAACTTTTGGGTTTTGGTCTATAAAAACACCCACCTCATGAGAAAGGAAACATGTTTCTGAAGTATCTCCTGTGTCCCAGGCACCAAGAAATATCCAACATGCTTTATAAAATTATGAAGGATAGTGAATTGTAGCTCATTATATGCTGTTGGGTCTATCACAACTTCAAAGATAAATTATTACAAATAAATTGCAATGTTCACACTGAATTAACTTTTCTTTCTTGAGACAATGTATTTCTATAGAGCCCAAGCTGGCCTTGAACTCACCACCTTCTTGCTTCCTCTAGTGCTGAGCTTGTAGGTGTGTCCTAGTGCACTCAGCTGAAATTAAAACATATTTTCAGGGGCCTCAAACACTGTAGTACAGCATCATTTATAAAAACACTATTGCATTCACTGTTGAATAAATGAAATCTTATCCTCTTTTTTTACACAAGGATATAGATGAAGGAATCTATCCATTTGCCCCAAGCCAATTGGCAGTTTGATGGCCATGTTTCAAAGAACTTAGCAGCCCTGTCCAATGAGGTTCCTTCTATAGCATGTCATTTTCCTTTCCTGAATAGGTAGAAGACAACCACAATTTAATCTAGAGCAAGTTTAAGACAACATCTAGTAAAAAGAGTCTTCTCTATAATCCAATTCTCATTTGTTAGATCCTAGCTATCAAACTGCAGAGAAATCTATAGGTTTTCATAAGGTTTACAGTTCTAATCACTTTTACACAGAATTTTTCCAAAACTCTCTGAGAAATTAGTCTGGAATGGGATTATTCCAATAAAGTAATCACATCTGTATTTACCTTGTCCCCAGAGTTGTTATTTAATGCTATTGATGCCAATGTGTACCCAGAAAAATAAAACAATAATGTTAAAGTCTGGGAATAGAGCACATGCTTGACATAACAAATGCCCTGAGATCAATCTCCAGCACACACAAAAAATGTAATGATAAAAACTTTGACTATGGAAGTGGCACTGTGGCTCAAGCAGTAGAGCGCTCGCCTTGAGCTGAAGAGCGCAGGGATAGCACCCTGGCCCAGAGTTCAAGACCCACAACTGACAAAAAAACAAACAAACTTTGACTCAACATTCTACAAATACTTAATGTTAAAAGATTGAATATTTATGACAAAACAATTACCTAGCTGAACATCTAGAGGAGCTAATAGGAAGTATCTGTTGTTGAGTTCTAATATATTACAGCTACATTTTTTCTAGTTAATCTTTTTCATTCATATGTTGTCTATCATCCAAAATGGACATTGATCAAGGTATATTCATAAACCAACATGTTGAATTAAAAATCCCTTTGTACAACTGCTTTAAGATAATAAAATAATAAAATTCTTGCTTTGTCATCTTCCCTTTCTCTCCTTACACCTTTGCTCTTGCGTTTCCTCTTCCTTGCTGTTCCTCTTTATCTTAGGGTGCTAGCTTTTCTATTGCTGTATCTATGGACCCATTTCTTTTGTTCAGAGACATTACCCCTGGATATGGCCCCCAGAAGCCATGCTGGATTGGACTCTTCATTTAGCTAATGCTCCTGAAACTCAGAAGGCGGCAAACATTATATTTTAGATCTTACCTTCACATGCTTTACTCACTGCATAGCTATATTTCATTGATCAACTACAAATTAAGTACTAGCAATTTTTCCACATTTGCCCAAGTTGTTCTTATTTTTTTGGAGGGGTGAGTTAACTATGGGGCTTGAACTCAGGGTCTAGGTGCTGTCCCTGAGCTCTTTTGCTTAAGGCTAGTGCTCTACCACTTTGAGCCACAATACCACTCTAGTTTTCTGATGGTTAATTGAAGATGAGTCTCACAGACTTTGCTGCCTTCGCTGCCTTTGAACCGTGATTCTCAGATCTCCTAAGTAGCTAGGATTACAGGCATGAGCCACCAGCACCCAGCTTGCCCAATTTCTTTAAGTATCAAACCTGTTTTATATTATTATCAGTGTATTAGATTTGTACAAGTTCTACAAAATCCACATTATATATTTAGTGTTAATTTAGTGGTACAATCCTGCCTCCACTGAAGAAAGCATAGGAAGAAAAACTCAGAAAAAGGTGACTTGATCTTAACAACAAAAAAAATTAAGGAGATGCTAAAAGGTTTGCTTTTAAAAAATAAAAACAGAAATCTTTAACCTTAGTAGGAAAAACAGCTCTCAATTTACCCTCAGGTTAAGTAATGACCTAGATTTGTGTGGAAGAATTTTGTCTTAATTTTTCATTTTACTTTGGAAGTTCAGATTTAGATATTATGAAACAGGAATAAGCAAGCAGGAACAAATGTGCTTCAAAATGGACTTGCCTTCAGCCACCTCCAGTGGTGAAATAAACATCAATTTTCTCACTATTAATTTTGAAACTTGACATTAGTAAAAGAAATAAATCTCTACTGAGTAAAGTAATTGTTATTTATGAAGCAATCACTGAAAGAGTAAAATTTTCCACCGCAAAGGAAAACAACTACAGGTAGCATTGATGTTTGTTTATTCTTTCCAGTAAAAGAGTACATGACTTAAACTTCCCAAATCTGTTTAGCATTTTCAGTGAAGAGCATGTAATTAATCTGAAAAGCTAGTTAGGCAGAGTAGAGACTACCAAATGCACACCATAAATATAGTGGGAGCAAACATGCTAAATTGCTCTATTTAATTGGATTGTAAATATGATTTATAAATCACCCGACATATGGACTCCCCAGGGAAGAGTAAACAAATTTTTCAAATGAAACCCTAGCAATGGGCATGTAATGGAAATCTCATTTTTGAAAATGACTTTACCTAAATATTTCATAAATAAGACTTCAATCCATCAACTCCTTTTTTCATGTAGATCTTCCAGGAACGCCATATGTATTGTCCCCTCTAATGCACTGTACTTCTCCATGTACTGAACTATCTCCTAGCTCACTTTCAGAATGAGATTTCCTAATACAAAGCAAAACAGATCAAATTGTATATCTCAGAGAAAGTAAGTTGTTTTCTTTAAATATTTTGGTACATTGAAGTTAAGTGAGATTACTTAGAAATAAGATGTAATGTATTGCCAGTTAAAGGTGTTTTAAGAAGAATGAAGTATACAATTTCCTTTCATTTCTTCTAGAAATGTTAAAAGAAAAAAGTAGTCCATTTGCCAGTTTAAATTATATATATATATATATATATACCTTGCCAGGCACCTGTAATCCTAGCTACTCAGAAAGCTGAGACCTGAGAATCATGGCCAGCCCAGGCAGGAATGTCTAGGAAACTCTGATGTCCAATTAACTACCCCCCCACACACACCCCA